GTCCACCAGAGTGTCTATATGTGGCAGCGGGAAATTATCTTTCGGACTGGCCCGATTAAGATCTCTGTAGTCGACACACATACGAACTTTTCCATCTTTTTTTGGTACTGGAACAACATTCGCTACCCATTCCGGATACTTGGCTACTTTTAGGAGCCCAACATCAAATTGTTTCTTTACTTCTTCTTTAATTTTAAGTAACATTTCAGGTCGCATCCTTCTGAGCTTTTATTGTACCGGTTTACATTCAGGCTTTATTGGCAATTTATGTACCACTAATTCAGTATCTAACCCTGGCATGTCCTCATACGACCAAGCGAACACATCTCTGTACTCTCGAAGCAGCTGAATCAGACTTTTCCTTCAGCAGATATGATGGTGCCAATCTTTATCTCCTTTTTATCCTCCTCTGATCCTAGATTCAAGATCTCAATGGGCTCTTCATGAGGCAGAATTTGTTTATCTTCTCTTTCTACCATTTTTAGTAGTTCAGAAGATAAGTGTCTTCCCTCATCACTATCATAACCTTCAATTTCCCCTTGACATATGGGCAACTCAAAATCTATCTTCAGGTCAGACTCATCAGCATTCATACTATTGATATCGGAGGTCCTGAAAGAATAACGAACAAGAGGATATATACATATACAAATACAGGATAATCTATCCCATATCAAAATAGAATGAAATAATAATATATAAAAAAGAAATAAATAAATAAATAAATAAAAGAATGGAAATGATGATATTTGTCATTTCGTGAATTAACAGGAATGCATCATTTATTTTAAAAAAAACATATATACATATACAATAGGGAAAGTTTTTGTGTATTACTCTGAAATAGTTTTGTAAACTACAGGTAATTCTTCTTCAGTCCAATTGTTTAGCACAAAGCCTGGTGGTGCGGGATAGATGCCCATAGCCTTTCCGTCTTCGATTCCTTCCTCTGATATCACATTTATACCCAAATCCTTCATGGTATTTTCAATAACATACTCTTTTGATGATCGACTCCCCTGAAACATATAGCCCAAGATATGAAGGTGTCACGCAACAATGGGAAATTCATGGGTTCCCACTTAATATCTTCCCCGACTAACCTGGCTTTCCTCCTTTCCTGGCTCTTTTGAACATTTTTCAACTTTTCCTTTAAGGTCGGGTGATATCCCAGACCAAAATGGTCTCGCTTAATACCAGGAAAAACTGGACTAATATTTCCTTGTAGGCGGCTTCCCAGCCCTCTTCCAACCTTGGCTCCTCTTCCTATAGTCATTTTCAGTTCCATTTTGGTACAATTGGATAGCCTAGGCTTCCGAATTTTCTTTCTTTCGGCAACAAAGGTGGCATTAATGAATTCCAAGGCTCCGAAAGAGCACTCGACCGCATCTTCATCTATTTCGACATATGGAGCGGTAGTAGATATGGAAGCAATGATATCTTCCTCAGTATTAAGGCATACCAGTCTCCCCTCAATTATAAATTTGAGTTTCTGATGCAAAGTGGATGGCACCACTCCTGCCTGATGGATCCAAGGCCTTCTTAACAAGCAGTTATAGGAAGGTATTATATCCATTACAAGGAATTCGACCTCATAGGTTGATGGGCCAATGGTTAAAGGAATATCGATCTTCCCCAGCACCTCCTTCTTTGTTCCGTCAAAAGCTCGAACGATGCTTTGGTAATTTCTCATGTATGTACTATCAACCGGCAGTTTTTTCAATGTCACTAATGGCATCACATTTAGGGCAGAGCCATTGTCGATTAGTACTCGCGATAACACATGTCCCTTGCACCTGATGGTAATGTGCAGGGCTTTAGGATTGCCCATCATTCCGGACGGGATTTCATCATCAGAGAAAGAGATGAAATTGTCTGCTTGAATATTTGCAACCAGCCGGTCTATCTTTTCTACTGGCACATCTTTTGGCACAAAGGTCTGATTCAAGACTTTCATCAAGGCATTTCGATGTGCCTCAGAGCTTAATAGTAGAGCCAGGATTAAGATGCGAGCTGGCAACTTGTGTAGTTGCTCGACGATGTTGTACTCGCTATGCTTCAAAAATTTTAAAAACTCCACAGCTTCGTTCTCGATTACAGGCTCATTAATTGTTGGCTCATCATTTTTCAGCTGTATCTCGACCTTTTTTCCTTTATCCGGGGTTGCTATTTTTTCGGGTTCATTGGTCGGATTAGGAGAATAACACCTCCCACTTCTGGTGAAGTGGCCTACCTCATCCACCTCTTCCTTGGCACCCTTTGAAACACCAACATCACCTAGATGACACTCGTACCTCCAGGGGACCTGTTTGCTATCCTTATAGGGAAAGGACGACGGGGGTATGATCATCAGTTTTGGGGTTATATTCTCTAATGTACGGGCTTTCGGCATGATAACCAGAGGGCAGTTGGAATTGTAGACACCTTTGGATGTACCCTCGGAAGCACAAATCTCTACATCTTCCTCCTCCATAGCTTCATGGTAAAATTCCATGTCTTTACTATCCATCAGCCTTTGAACCAAAGCCTTAAACTCATCACAGTTTTGAATGACATGATCCTCACAACGGTGGTAGGGGCAAGCATGCTTATTCCCATTAATATGAAAGGTCAACCAACCTATTTTGACCATTTTCCCCCATACCCAATGCATGGGTGATTTCACTTCATTGACTTTTGTTATGACTTTGTTCACTCTTTCTTCAATAACAACATTAACCCCTGTCCCTGCATGGTTCGTCAATGGGTTCTGAGCCACATTAGGCTGCTCACTATCACCGAAGTTGATAACATTTCTTTGTTTTAATCTATGCACCAACTTTTTGAAGGCCAGGCAGTTTTCAATTGAATGCCCCGATGCCCCCGCATGATACTCACATTGAGCATTGATGTCAAACCATTTTGGGTAAGGAGGTTGTATTGGAGAAGTGTGGTAAGGTGACACCACATGTTTGTCATACAGGATCTGGAATAATTCTTTATAGGTCATGGGGATATGGTCAAATTGATACCCTTTCCCTTTCATGTCTTGGTTCTTTCACTCCTTGTTGGACATGATTTGATGCTGACGATACAGTGGCCGGTGGTCGAGATACTGTAATGTTATTATAATCATATTTCTTCACATTACTAAACTCATTATCTTTTCTTCTCACTGGAGGCTTTCGGCTAGATTATCCCCCGTCTAGCTTCCCACTTTTGATTGCCATCTCGATCATTTCTCCTGCATTAATTATGTCAGTAAAATTCTTGGACGAATTTCCAATGAGATGTCCAAAGAATGGGGCCCTCAGAGTATTTATAAAAAACATATTGGTTTCTTCCTCTTCTAATGGTGGATGAACTTGTACAGCCACATCTCTCCACCGTTGGACATATTGCCTGAAACTCTCATTGGATCTTTTTTCCATACTCTGTAACAGAATTCGATTCGGCCTCACATCTTTTACGTGCTTATATTGCTCTAGAAAAGCCTTAGCCAAATCCTTCCAGGATTTAATCTGAGCTCGGCTTAGCTGATTGTACCAACGGATTGCTGAGCCTGCCAGGCTCTCTTGAAAACAATGAATTAATAGCTGATCGTTTCCCACATAGCCTGTCATTTTTCTGCAAAACATGGTAATGTGTGCAGAAGGACAACTGGTGCCATCAAATTTCTCGAAGTCTGGAACTTTGAACTTCGGTGGTAACACTAAATCAGGGACCAGACTTAGCTCTCTGGCGTCAATTCCATATAAGCTAGCATCTTCTTTCATAGCTCGGAATTCATGCTTCATTTGTTCCCATTCTTTCTTAATTTCCTTATCATGTTCTTTTTTGTCTTCCTCATCCAAATCAGGGACATCTTCAATTGGTTGTGGGTTCGTGGAAGAACCAGGTAGGTTTACTTGTATTTTTTTCGGTTGGATGGTCGTGGCTTGTTGTGTGTGGATATACGGTGGTGTGAAGCCAGGGGGATATAAAGGTTCCTCAGCAGCAGGACCGATAACTGGAGCCTCTCCTTGGACCACACTATTTCCCTGTAGCAAACTAACCAACTTTTCCATCATGTCGTCTTGAGCCTTCATTATCTGTTCGCGCATTTCCTCTTGCGCTTTCTTTAAATTCTCTTGCATTTCAGCTTGAACCTTCTCTATATTGACAATTCTATCATCCATTGCCATTTTTCGCGTGTTGTATGGATGCTTATAAGTGTCCATTATTCTGCCACAATATTTTTTATTAATCATGGTGTTTTATTAATGAGGTGTGAAAAATGTGATTAGAATGTTATTCATAAAAGTAAATGCAATGTAGATGCAAGATGAATGCAATACAAGGTGTTGATTCTGGGACGATTCCTTAGAACAACTTTTTATATAGGAAACGAAGCTCAATTACAAGGATTAAACAGATCACAGATACAATAGAGCTATCTCTCCTAATTGTTGGATATGTCCCAGTAATTCCACTATCTTCTGGTTTTCTTCTGCCTCTGGATCCAGTTCTTCAATCACATTATCAGCTTCATGTGACAGATCAACCAAGTGCTGAGCCACTCCTTGAGCTTGTTGTAGGTATCTTGCAATGAGATCCTCCCTTTGCTTAACTCTCCGCTGAGCCTGCTCCCAACGATAGCGCCATTGCATAACTCCTTCATAAGGGACCAATGGAAGTTCATTTGTTCTTCTTTGCAAATCTTGAACTAAGGCCTCGAGTTCATTTACACGCTTCGTCAATCTTTCCACTTCAGCATGTGAACTACTTTCTCGACTTCGATATCGTTGCAAATCAGTCTCTAAGCTCAAGACCCTATTCTTTAATTTCTCATTCAGGGTCTGATTCTCTTGCAATTGTTGTTCAAGGGCATTTTTGTCTCTCAAGAGTAATTTGGCCTGATGTGTACTCCGTTTGAGTTCTTCACTGCTTTCTCCAACTTCTCTTTTCAGTCCTGCCACTTCTTGCCTCCATTCAGTAGAAGACTTACTAGAGCTAGCAGATGCCTGATCTTTGATCATTCGCTAGTGTGATAAATGGAGGTCATTGAAATCTAATCTAAGTTGCTTCTCCACTTTTTCAATCTGATCAGCCCGACTCTTTTGGATGTCAGTCTCCAGCCCTTTCTGATACACTTCATCTTCTAGCTTTTGCAAAGTTACTCTCCATTTTTTCCTTTCTGCCTCAAAATCAAGCCTGGCTTGCTCGAGCGGAGACGGGATCACCCTGAGGTGTTCTTCCATAGATTGGATATTCTCTTGATTGCTTAATGGAATATTATCATTAACTCGGTTGCTTCTCCACTCCTCATATCCTCGAGATAGCCTTGACTCAAAAGTAAAGAGATTTACCCGATGGGTGTATCTCCAAGCATCAGTGACCCCTTTAACTTTATTCTTATACAGTTCTCCCCTGAATGCGAACTCAGACTTAGATAACTCCCTTGTTGCCGGAATAAACTGTCTCGACCCAAATTGTCTGGACACCAGTAATGGGGCATACCCTACAGATCCCCAAATACCAGGTAATGGAACCCAATCTCTATCTCCACATCGATACAATATGTCAGATGAGACATTCCATGAGGTACGCCATAATATGTCACTGTCTCGGATACTTTTGAAAATGATCATCCACTTTTCCTCAGTAAAACTCCCAGGCCACTACCGAGAAATGAAATCCTTCAACGGTGAAAAACCATTTAAGAAGACCCGACCAGGTGCTCTCTCGACGTGTTTGAAATGACTAAGGATCCAGGTTAACAACAATGGTGCACAACCTATGAATCGTCCTTCCCCTTCTCTTCGGCAAGAGCTCAGGGAACGAAATGTTTCTGCCAGAATAGCTGGAACAGGATCCACATGTCTATCCAATCTTTCGAACAGGTCTACCACTGATACATCAATATGCCCGAGAACTCTCGGGAAAATAACCAATCCATAAATACCAAGAGCAAAGAAGTCAATCTTTTTTCTTTGACCAGGATGACAGTTAATCAAATCTCTCATAAGGGTCCAAGTAACGTATTCGCGGTCTCCTTTCTTTTTTATGCCTCTCATAACCCATTCTTCACTCATGCCAGTCATCAGAATAAGTTTTTTCTTAAATGAAGGAGTATTTGGGGGTTTGGTGTATACTTTGTCTACTTGGAACCTCGGACAGCGAATCAAGGCACGATACTCCTCTATAGTAGGTGTCATGTCTACTCGGCCAAATGTAAAACAGCTATAAGCGGGATTCCAAAACTGAGCTAGAGCTCTAAACAAATTCCGATCAATCGCGATATCAAGGAGATATGAAATGTCACCATGGAGTTGATAGAACAATTGCTTATCGGATGCTTCCCATCTTCCCCAAATCTCTTTCAGTTCGTTCAGATCATTATGACAAACGTTGATGTGAGTATACCCTCTCAGCTCTGATATATACCCTAGTGATAAATTGTCTCCATTTGTTAGTTGAGACTGCTTGGACTATATCAAGACGTCTGCATTGTCCTCTACTTTTTGAATCATTCGTTCCATAATACTAGTCTTCTATATGGACATCAGTCATGGATCAACACCAATGAAATGAATAGGGCAATGCAAGATGAGGATAAAGTAAACAAAAAGAAAGAAAATCGGTCAGTAATCATAAATGAATTGACTAAACATAAATCAATTTATCGATAAAACCTACCCTACATGTTAGCTACCCAATCATGCTTTAGTAGATCCTACCCAGTCATGATTTCTACCATATACTTTTGTTATTCACAAAAATCCTAACCGCATGATATCTAATTCACATGTTTGTTCAGGAAAATAATCCTAACCACCTGATTTCTAGTTCGCATACATTTATTCAAAAAGTGAAAATAAATGACTCAAAAACTTTTCCTTGTGTACCCTCCTCACAGGACTCCTAAGTTTCAAGTCAGGCTCGACCTAAATTTGGGCTCTATGTTCACTATATGCTGGGTTCGGTTTTAAAGTAAAGGGTCCTCGAATTATCCTTTGCCGATGCCCCCTTGGGCTACCGAACCCTCAATCATGGCCCATCACAGGCTTTCAGATTGAGTTCAATTTGAGGGGACACACTTCCTTATGTCATTGCGGAGGTGAAAACCTCACGAGGATCATAAGGCGTGAGCCCAAGGAGCATTTCACTATCCCGCACGGAGGTGAAAACCACACGAGGGATTAGTTACTTTCTCCTACTTAAATAGGACGGAGCGGGGTTTTAGCTCATGTTATGCGAATGCAGTTGTGCAATGTGTGAGGAAAAGCGAAACAAAGCAAACAACACTAAACATAAAACTCAAGACCCTGAACAATTATTTAATCTGACAACATTAGCAAACAGATTAGTACAACTATTTAGTGGTTAAGCAAATTAAGAGTCAAAAAGCAAACAAAACTTATTTAAAACAAAACAAGGGATCAAAACCAAATTAGAACGAACTTGTATTTTTTATTTGCAAAGACAATTAATTAATCAATTATCGGCCTGACTCTCTAAAAAAAAGTCCCCAGCGGAGTCGCCAAGCTGTCGAAACGGTTTTTTTCCGGGTGAGATTTTGAAAACCACACCAATTTTTAATTATTCTCTTCAGATTAAATTTAAATTAAAAATAAATGTGATTAAAAAACCTCTCGTTTCAAAAATTTGGAAATTCCTTTATGATAAAAATACGGTTCGAGGAGTCGCCACCAATCTTTGATTAAGGTGTGATTGGGCACCCAAAAACGTTTTGTCATTTTAAATAAAAATTAATTTTAATTAAAACAACAAATTTAGGTCCGTGTTACCAGAAAATGAGTTCGGGAGTCTGTTACACGTGGGGAAGGATTAGCACCCCCACAATGCCCTAAATCGGTACCTAGTTGATTAATTAATTGTCTTTGTAATAAAATGTATAAGTTCAAAATTAATTTGATTTATGATCCCCTAAAATAATATTTTTCAAAATTTTGGATGAAAGAATAATAATATTTAATTATTTCCTATCGAGAAGAAATGATCTATTATACCTTGAAGCAATCGATTCTTACTTTAATCGAAATAAAAAAATATTAAAATTTCATTCTAAATTTCAAAAATAATAACACCCAAAATAATTTTTAGAGATAAAATAATAATATTTAATTATTTATGATCGAACATTATTATTTTGAAAACCCTTTAAAAACACATGCAAAAGTAAAAAAAAAACATATCAAACAATTGATTAATTAATTATTTTTACCAATATTTAATGAGAACAAGGATATTCAATTAATTAAATATCTCGAGACGAGACCATAGATTCGATCTAACTGTCTTTTCTCAATGAATTTAATTAAAAGAATACGATCTTTTTCTCATTTCCCAAATTTTAAAAATGAATATATTTTAATTGGTGTCACTTATGGAATAGACTTTCATTTTAAAATTATCGAAAGCAACTTTCTTATACGTTAAGACAGTCACTTTACGACAATATTAAAATGCTCGAATATTACCCTTAGTCAATTTATTTCAATTCAAGTCAAGTAATGCTCATGAGGATATCATACAATATTAATTAAAAGATGTCATGTACCTAATTTTATATGTATAAATGAATACAACCATATATATATAATTTATAAACATATTAAAAAGGACTAATAACACTCAAATTTAGCTAAGGAAACATACGTATATGATAATCCAATTAAAATATATAATTTATAAATATTAGGCATATTATACGTACACATTAAATTAAACTATGATGGACTAAAAGGTAATAAAAACAAACATGATTTTAAAATAGATAGATGAAGGATCAAAACAAAAAAAGGTAGTGACTTTAAAGTCACATATGCAAATATCATATAATATGGGTAATGGAATATCAATAAGACCATAAAACTATATATATTGAACTAAAAACAGTAACTAACGTAATGAGCATAAAAAATTTCAAAAATGAAATACCCTTTATTCCGTTTAAACTGTGTCGTTTCATTTTTTTTTTTAAAAACTAAATATAAAGTTAAGCTTTAACCTAATAACTAACCCCCTCCTCTGCTAAATCAAATCCATAAGCGTTGTTTCTCTACTCCTCTTCAACTCTCTACTTTATTATTTCATGAACGCTGCCAAGACCTTCCTCCGATGAAGATTCCGGCGAGTAAGGTAATAAATTAAGACCTTCTTTCTATTTCCCTAAAACTCTTAAACAAATTATTTTTCCAAATGTTCACTGTTTTCATTTTCAATCAAAACCTTCTAGAACCTATACTCGAATGAAGTCTATGGAAATGCTAGGTGAGTAATTTCACTCCTCTCTGTTGTTTATTAATTTCCCCTTAACGTTCGAACAGTGCCTATTTTACAAGGAAATCACTACCCACCGATGTTCGACCGGCCACCAAATGTGAGTGACACTGCTTACCCCGACCACTTACAACTCTTTTTATTCTATTTATTTTGAAACAGATCACACACACCACACACATCAATAATCGAAAATGGATTTTTTTTTAAAATACCTCAAGAAAATTGCTTAATATTCTGATCTTGGTTATTATTTGATTTGATTTTGTTACAGAGAAAAAATCAGGAAATACACTCCCTGATGTACAGCTTTCCAAAACAAAGATGGAGAAAATCCGAAACCCTTGTTACAGTATGTTTCCCTCTCCTGTTGTTGATGAACCATGTTCCCTCCTTTCTATTTTTTCCTTTTGCTTTTTCCTCTCCTCCTTTTTTCCTGTGTTTTCTACCCTGGATATATAATTGCACGCATGTGGGAGCAGGTTGGATCCAGGATTTTTCCAGATTTTTGGTATTATTCTAATATTTAGTGGATTTCAGTGGAGTTAATTTGGTCTGATTTTTTTTATGTTTTTGGGTGCTATTTGCCGTAAGGAATGACGATGGTTACTTTGGTGATCAGCAATGTTCTCAGCGGCGTGCTTGGCAGTGGCCTCAGGTATGGATCTAGCACCGAGTCAGGTTACTGGGCCAGTTCGGGTCTCCTTGTATTACTGTTGGGTCAGGTCTGATCCAGCTTACTATGGGACGGTTCTTGGAGTCTCGGGTCTGGAACTTGGGTTGAAATATTGTAGTGGACTGTTGTGTTTTATTTTGTAATTTGGGCTGCACATTAAGCCTGCCAAATATGTAAAATAATATTAATATTAATAATAATAATAAATATAATAATAATAACAGGATGAAAAATCGAGTGTCGACAATAAGCATCTTGTAACTCATCAAAACTTCATTTGAGTTAGAAGATACATTTGAATATTCTTGGATAGACGTAAGGCAAAGATTGGTCAATTCATCATCTTCATTATCGGTGATGTCCTCATTACTCTATGTAGCCACAAAATCCATATTCTTTAGCTTACTTGATCCCTTCTTCTTTAATTAGGGACAATCATACTTTATATGCCCTAGTTTTTTACAATTATATCATATGATGAGATCCTTCTCCTTCTTCAATTTATGATTCGCCTCTTTATCTTTATATGACATGAATCGTTTGAATTTCTTAAAGAGCTTGGCCATCTCTTCATCTTCTTCATCGTCATCTTTATCGAAATTGCATTCTTTTTTTTAAAGGATCTTAAAGAGACACCAACTTGCTTTTTATTTTCATTATTATCTTCTTTCTTTTTTTCTTATTGCTCCTCCTTGTTTACAATCAACTCATGAATGGACAAGAAACCAATAAGCTCATCAACAGTGAGAGATTTTAGGTTCTTTGTTTCGATTATCATCATCTTATTTTATTGACAAGACTTTGAAAGAGAGTAAATCATCTTCCTCATAAGCTTTTCATTTGGGATTATTTCTCCATATCCCTTGAGATCGTTGACAATCATAGAAAACCTATCCCTTATAGCTTTGATGTTTTCATTAGGTTTTATCTTGAAATTATCATAGCTATAGCTGAAAAGACCAATTTTTGTTTCCCCCACTTCATCGGTTCCTTCATGAGTAACTTGAAGCTTGTCCCAAATCTCATTGGCGTTTGAACAAGAGAAGACTCTTCCATATTCATTAGAGCCTAATACACAAAATAGAATGTGCATGGTTTTGACATTTTGTTGGAACTTTTTATTTTCTTATTCACTCCAATCTTCCATATCATTGGTTGGAGTAAATTGACCCTTCATTATAGAGTTCCAAGCTCCTAAATAATTTGCTTGAATGAAGAGCATCATCTCATTCTTCC